ATGCCAGGTGCAGTGACCAATAAGACTGGAAGAGATTTGTGTGAGTGAGGTTTTTCAAGAGACCTTCTGTAACAGAGGCAGCAGACACAGCCTATTCTTTCTCAGATGCCGTGGAGCCACTTGGTTGGAAAGGTGTTGTCCTTCCCATTTCTTCAATTACTAGTTTGATCTAACTGTGTGTGGAAGACAGAGTTCTGGGTAGGATTGTGTGATGTTCAGAAGTGAGAAGGCCTTGTTCCATGTCTTAGATACTTTTCTTCCTGGTCATTGATGAATTAGTTCTAGAAGAGCCCAGAGGCTGTAGCCTCAAGAATGACACTTGGATTAACTTGCACTTTCCTAATGTCTAGCATATACCCAGCTGAATGAGAGGAAACAGCCACTAAGTGGGTCATCCCAGAACACTAGAAGTCATTTTCATCATATCAGTATATCAGGTCACTCTGTTAAATAGCTAATTTTTTTTGCTTCTTGTCACAGTTTGACTCAGGTCCGACAACAATGCTCTCAATGCCCCCTCCCCCCAACCCAGGTAGGGAAGGAGAGAGAGAAAAAGAGAGAGACTTGGCTGGATTGAAAACTAAACTACACAGCTTTAATTAAAACACTAATGAATCATACAAGAAAATATATACAATTATATACAGATATATGGGCAAAAGCCTCTTGCCTCCCCCCACCCCAGCAACTCCCACAGCACTTCCCTGAACTGGGAAGAGTCCCGAGGAATCCCGGAGCTGCTGCTGGAAAAGAGCAGAGAGTTATGGGGGTCACGAGAGATCAAGGCTGAGGATCGACGGTGATGGATGAACAGAGTCCTCCCCGGACACCGGCCATGGACGGAAGAGAAGGGAGAAGAAGAAGGAAGGAAGTTGTCTTCTGTGATCTCTGACCTTCCTCTGAGCTTACGTAGATATATGGAATGGAATATCTTTGGCCAATTTTGCTGTCCATCTAACTCAGCCTCCTACGGGGGGGTCACAGATCTCCCCATAGTGTCTGAGCCGGCAGAGTGCAGGTGCAGCCTTGAAGCCTCAGTAGTTAGAAAAACATTCCACTGTCTTATCAGCCTAGCAGAACACACTGTTGCTAGTTACAAGAAAGCTTACTGAAGGAAAAAAAATCAGTAAAGAGAAAAATTGGCTTCATCCTGGCTCAAACCAGGACACTTCTGAATCTACTTATTTGGTTTCCTGTAATTGTAGTTTATAATGGAAATTGCATGTAGCATCTAACTTTTTGTCTGGTTAAAAAGAAAGAGCCATACCCTTGTTGCTGATAACTAATAGGGTTTCATTGACTTTGTGATCAATAGCAGACCTGTGCCTTCTACAGAATCTGACTTTGACCAGATGTCACAAACTCACTTGGAATGCCACTTGAGCATACAGGTAGCAGTTGCCCTCCCCCTGCCCTCCACAAACACACCTGTCCACAGCAGGCTGGTTTTTTGCATTGGTACCTGTAACAAGAAAGGACTGTGCTCATACTGGGAAGTATTTACTATCTGCAGATAGAGCTGTAATTGTTACTACTTTTTAATTATTATTTTTCAAAACTCCAATAAAAGCATTAGGTGTGAATCCACTGCTCCCATGACTGTGAATTGTAGTTTGTTTATCAGATCTGTTTTCTTTTTGTTGTCCTGTGGACTGAAAGGTAATGATGTGCAATGTGAAGGGTATTCCTGCTAGAGATAGTATTTCTGCAAATCCTGCAAAGCATAGCTAATGATCTGCAGAGTAGCACCTGACATTCAGTGAGCAGGCTGCCTGCTCTCTGTTCTCCCACACCATGTACTCACATTCTGTATTTCATAGCGTGATCAAAACCAGTCTTGGGCTAGTGTTTTGGTAACTTCTCTGTCTCATTGTTCTTACTAGCAGCAGTAACATTTGCAATTTTAATCTGTGGTAGGAAGCATGTTTCCTTGCTTTAAGGAAATCTGAATGAATTTAGAGGCCACAGAAAAGGACATCTTACAGCTCACACTGCGTTCTGTCAAAGAAGACAGGCTACAAGACAGATGCTGATTTACTTACAAAACAGCAAACAAAACCCCAAATCCTGTTTTTTCTCTTTCCAAATATGCAGTCTTAAGAAATGTATTTAAGCATCACAGTAACTCACATACCATTAATTCTCTGAAGATTACACGTACACACTTAATTAGACCTGCCTCATTTATTTAAAAAATGAACATACTCTTGTATCCATATTTTATAGCTTAACCAAGTTGTTAAGGTTATAGAAGAAGGGGTTTTAAAAGCAAAATGTGCAGTCCTTCTCCTAGAAAAGTTGAAAGCATCAGCAGAGCTGTACCTAAGTTTAGTTTAAAAACCATAAACTCATGTTTTTTGCTATTCTTGAATGGGTAAAAGGCTTTTTAAATATGTGAACAAATGCTTGTTAGGAACTCTGAGATACACCTTCCTGTCTTTGTAGCAGAGCTAGCAGAGTGGGCACTGAGATGTCTGAGTTCCTTTTGTTTTGCAGAATATGAGTAATCTTCCCTTTGTTTGTTTTGTGGACTGCAGTGAGTTGCTGCCAGTTGCAGTTTCTTAAGGATTTAATAGTCTCAGTCAACTACAAGGACATCATCCTCCAAAGGCTCTGTGAGAATGAGAACTTGATGCTGATAGTGTACGTCCCCTCTCATGCTTGTATGGCTCTCCACAAGCTTATCTAAGAGGCCAGTACATCTCAGAAGAATAATAGGGATCTTGGGAAGAGGCAGATGACTGTAGCCTGCTTCAGAGGATGTGTGTGGGGTGGGAAAAATTAATCCATGTCCTGACTACTCTGTTAATCTCTGGTACCTGAGTGCTAGAGAGGCTCACATCCTTAAAGGCAATTATGTTTTTGTCCTTTTCTTGGCAATGAATTCCTGTGAGGTCTGCTAACCAGCAGTGGAGATGGTGGTTAGTAGCCACCTGCTTATTTTGGGCTTTACTGGTTCAGAGTTGCCATGGAGATCAGTAGGAGTGTTAACCAGGCAGGGACTGCAGCAGTTTGCCCTGGTTGTGTAAATCCGTTTGACGTGTCATGTGTCTCAGATTCGGCTGTGCTGCTCACATTGGAGGTCTGCTTGCTTGCCCGATTCCTTTGTAGGAGAGCTGAACAACTGCCCTGCAGTATACATAGCACTGTGATATTTAAAAAAGGCAGAATCAGGGTTAGTACATACTGTTCAGGGGCCCATATAAAAGCAAAGTCTGTGCACTGAAGAATTTTTAGTGCAGGTGTCTAATCCCTGTAAACTAGAGGGAACTGTTACTTGCAAAACTCTCCTGTGCTGGAGCCTTTCTTGTGATAGCAGCAAGCATATTGGCTGTCTGAAATGGAGAATTATTAAGAGGCAGAAACAGAGATTTTTATAATTTGGGACATGTGGGAAGAAGGAATCTTCCCAAGTAATTTTAGAACTTGTAAAGCAGATTAAAATACCGAGAGCAGGGTGAGCAGAATTAAGTGCTGAATATAAATGTGTTCTTTACACTTGTAAAGGGTACTCAGGCTCCATGTCCTCAGAAATATTGCTGGGAAAATATAAACTAAAATGCTCCAGATTGATAAAGGCTTTAAGATTATTGAAGTAAATGGTGACTCCTTTCAACAGAAGCTAAAGCTGGTACATCTTGAAGGCTGGTGTGAGCTGCTTGTATTAGTGGAAAGGCGTGATTGCACGCATCAAAAGCTGCTTCTGCTTCCCCCATGTCCTCTACCAGTCTTAACAATTTAATCCATAGCAGTTTGTCTTCATGGGCTGTAATTGATCTGTCTGTGATTTAGCTCATCAGATGCTCATTAAGGAGCTTGCAATCTTTGTTATGCATGCAGAGTGAGAGCCTGGGATCTAAACCCACTTTGTCTTAACTGGATTCATTTAGTATTCAGGGATTAAGGGAGGCTAATAAACTTACATGAGCTATTATTTAAAGGTGAGCTGCCAAGTGAACATGAAGGATGATTCAAGCACTGCCAGTGTGCCGAGCACTCTCTGGCATTGGGGTGTGAGTAGCAGAGGGAATTGTTAAAACCCCAGCAAGATACTCCTCATTGCTCAGTGGAGGATGTCCCAGAACACCCTGGCTGTGTGAGATTGGACAGCACAGCTTGTGGTGAAGCTTCTGAAGCTGTGTCTGCAATGAAGATGGCATTTTATGCTAGTAACGAAATCGGGGTACACAAATATTTTACGCGTTGTCTGTAGAGTTTGAGCTTGACATCTGTTTTTGTTTTTCTGGGTTTTTTTAAGTGCTGCTATTGTTCTGAGCTTCTGTCTGTGCTCTGGCAGTGCCTGCAACGATGTGCGCTTCCCATGTTGCCTGCACACACATGCTGAGAAAATGCCTGTTGCCATCCTTTAACAAGGATACTCTGGCAAGCTGCAAAAGAGAACAATCCCCCTGGGCTGCAGAAAGCAGTTTCCTTTCCCCGGTACTTTAATGAACCCTTGAGATATTTCCAAACCGTAGGAAGAGGAAATGGCATGTGTGGGTTCTCCGTCCTGCTCCTTTCTGAGCCTGGCTCCACATGCCAGAGGCTTCCAGAAAGGTGAATAATTCCCTGAAATGTTTGAGTTGACTGTGTAGTCACACGCGCATCGTGTCATCAAACCGGTAGTGCCTTGGAGGCCTCTTAAGTGACTACAATCACAACAGGCTCTTTGAGTTCTCATGGTCCGGTTCTGCCAGGGGATACCTGCACCTGCATCCTGTGTCTGCAGCAAAACTATTGCCTTTGGTTGTGAATCATGGGAAGCTCTGGGGCCCCACAGACAAAGCCCTGTGTAAGGGATCTGAACCCTGACAGGGCCTGCTGCCATTCACATTAACTGACTTGCCAGTTGCTGTGTGTGTCAGGTTTGGGAAATCTTTGAGAATAGAAACCCTTTCTCATTGCTCAAAGTCACAGTATTTATAAATACTCTGTGCTTGTGTTTGTAATTATACATTGTCCTATGCAATTATTAATACCATGGTTTTCTTTCTTTGTAGTGTACAGAGGCCAAAAAGCATTGCTGGTACTTTGAAGGATTATATCCTACATATTATATGTAAGTAGTCATCACTTTTCTTTTTTGTGTTTCCTAGTGCACAGGAAAGGATTAGATTTTGTAGGGTCTTTGAGTGTTGTTCTTTCACTAATCATACTTTTTCCATAACTTTTTTGAGACTTTTTCTGAATTAAAAGCGAAGATGCAATATGTCCCATCTCTTT